CTTGTGTGTGGGGGGGTTTTGGTTTTTTTTGTTTTTGTTTTTTTTTTTTTTTTTTTTACCGTAACCACTTGGTAACTTTTAAGAACCAATATTTTTTTAATGAAGGACAAAATGTTAACACCCCCACACACACCCCGAGTGTATATATGCCGCCTGTAGAAGGTGTAACTATGCAATAATACAGTATCCCAGTAGTTGTGAAGCAGCTGCTTCTCCCCAGCACAATGACAATTTGCAATGCCTGCGAGATTAACAGTGTCCATAAAAGGCATGGGTAGCCATTTCAAACACCAACCCTGTTTACAGAGCAGCTATGCACTCAAGCACCTGTTAATATGACTCTTAACAACTGCTTTTCAAGAGAACTGTGACTAATAGCAGGCACTTGTCAGCCGATACAATGGTGGCCTGTCCCAAGGCTGCCCATCGACAGGTGTGTGCCAAAAGCCCTATTTATGGGTATTGACAGGTGCCTCCTGAATGCATCTTTCTTTGGACATTGTTTTCATGGAATCATTACAAAGAGGATGTTTACATTTCAAAGGTACACTGGTATTTATATTTTTGTGCCACAATTTTGTACTGATGAAACTTTTTATATAATTATATACAGTTTATTGATATTCAATAAAATGGTTAATTTATAATAGGGTGGGTGCTTAGGGTGAATATGCAGCAGGGGGTGTGGGTGGGGAGTGCTGTGGGTTCCAAGGGGGGGCTGCACTGGGGGTGGAGGGTGATGGACTCGGCTCTCATCCTGCACTCCTGGTGTGGGGCTGCAGGTGAGCGGTGTTCTCCGGAGGGGACCTGCAGAGCAGTTGCCTCTCTGGGGAGGAACAGGCAGGCTGGGGGGGTTCCTGGGGAAGGAGCAGCTGTGCGGTGATGCGGGAGGGGGGGACGACAGGGCTGCTGGGTGTGCAGTGGATCTCCCTGGCTCCATGTGGGAAAGCGCAAGGGTTTGTCCTGTCCCTCCCAGCCTGCCCGGGTGGGTGCTGGCTTCCCCAGGGGTCTACTGGAGTGCCTGTAGACTGGCCATGTCCTCAGCACTGCCTGGGGAGGAGGTCCCTGCTGCAGCGTGGGGAGCTGCATCTGGCTCTTGGCAGGCCCTGGAGCCTCCCTGGGGAGGGCAAAGGCACCAGGCACCTCAGCGACCCGATGTGGGTGGTGCGGCAGCAGAGGTGACACATCCTGTTGTCACCGCAGCGCCCTTCAGCGTGTGCAGGTGGGGCTGTCCCCTGCATGCACACAGCCGGCAGGGGACCGGGGGGCAGGTGGTCCGGGATACCCCGTGTACCTGCCTCTAGGATTGTCCTAATGATGCTGTAGCCAAAGCACAAATGTTCCCAATGCTCCGAGTCACCTGCCTTGCACCTTCCCAGCCACCTCCGAATTTGGGGAGGCTTCAGGGACAGTGCAGAGGGTCTTGCTGCCCGCCTCCCCCAGGGTCCAGGGTTTTGTCCTGCTCCCCCTGCCTTGCCTCGATGCCATCTCCAGGGCATTGCTTTTAACCAGGGAATAAAAGCGCGTGTCCCCCAGCGCTCATCCCCCCTCCGGCCTGCCGGTGTCCGGCTCCCCGTGCCTCTCCCAGGGGCTCTTACGGAGCAGGAAGATGTGTGCGGCTGTAAAAAGGAGCAGAGCTGCTGCTCGACCCTTCTTTAATTAAGAGCTCGCCCCGTATAAACCGACTTTCCCAGCCGAGTTGGACTCATTACTTGATTATTAAGCAGGGCAGGAAGTTTTGGGTTTGCTCTTGTGTGTGCTTTTTTCTTCCTTTTCCCAACAGGAAGCGGGGGAGGGGCACTAATTACTTTCAGCTTTCCATCCATAAAATCCTGGAGTTGCAAAAGCAGCTAAATAGTTAAAAAAAGACCAGTTTTGAGAACAGACCACCTGCAGGAGCTGGAAAGGAGGGTGAAGGAGTGGGTGAGTGGGGAGGAGAAGCCCGCTGCGCCCTGCACAGGCTGTCCAGCCAGCCTGGGTCGGTGGTGGCTTTGCAGCTCTGACGTGCAAGAGCCCTCGATTACTGCTCAGCTTTAAGGCCCTTCGGTGGGCATCCAACCACACCGCACAGGCTGCGCCTTACCCCCATCCGCGCGTGCCACGGCTGTCACTGGTTTGGATGGGAACCCTTTCCCGCATCGTTGGGGCTGTTGCTTCTTCCCTGTGCTGGCACCCGCCGGGGAACCCTGCCAGCTCCCTCTCAATGGGCTTCCACTAATATTGGTTAGGCAGGCGATGAGAGTTGTGAGAAAACCCCCTCCTTAGCAATCTTTCCTGCTCTCAGTTGTGTTCCTGGCTTTGTCCAGGGCCTGGCTGGGACGCAAGGCTTTTAGAGAGAAGGTATAAAATGGGTGGAGGACAGCCTAGGCGCCGACTGACAAATCCTGCTGGCATTCAAACACAAATGCAGCCTTAAAACACTGGAAAAAAGAAATGCTGCCTGTTCTGAATCACAAAAGCATAGCCCATTGGCACTCAGGCTGCTGCTGCATCTGCTCCCTTCCCTGCCCTGCCCAAGCACCCCGCACCCCGGGGACCCACGGCCACTCAGATGCTGTCCTGCAGCTTGCAGTGGTGCCTCTGACTTCCCCAAGTCATGCCCAGGTCTGGACTAGTTGCTGCCCTGTCACGGGGTGATGGACGTGGCCCAGATCCCTCCTTTTCTGACCGACTGCTCATTTTTCTACTGCAAAATTACTTCTTACTTCTACACTGAGGGCTGTTGGGGTGAGCAGAGGGTTGTGGCCCACGACAAGGACACCCTTGTGTCCAGCTCAAACCTGCTGCAGGTGTGGGCAATCCTCTCTGTCCTTTCCCTGCCCCCATACACCTTTGGGGCTCCGTGATGGAGAATTGCACCCAGGAGCTGGGCCTGAGGATGAGTTGTGATTGCCTTTTCATTTCATTTTGGGAAGGAAACCCCCCAGAGCAGCATCCCTGGCAGCAAAGGCAGCTGGCAGCAGTGCCGCAACCCCCTGCCCTCGGTTCCCTGCGCTTGCCTGGGCAGTAAGCGCTATGCAGTGAAGCCAGAGGGTTCATGGCGAAACCTCAGCATTTTTTTCCCTGTTTCTCCCCCACCCCCTCTCTCTTTTAAAGCCACAGGAACTAAACACACCGTAAACCCACTGCCCGCAGCCCGGCTGTTTCATCCAGGTAGCGCAGGCTGCAGTTTCGGTGGTGGGGGCAGCGGGGGAGGGGCAGCCGGTGGTTAACGGGGGGGACACTTTGGTGTCGCTGGCAGGGGCCGTGGTGCCGGGGTGCGGGCTGTGCCGGCTCCGGGCTGCCGCGCTCCCCGGGCGGCCGCACGGCCACGGCGTTGAGCGTTTGAACTCCGCTGTTTAATTTCCACGGACCTCCACAGGACCTTTAAACAAGCACGTACGTCCCCTCGGCTCCTGGAGCCCTTTCAAAGGCTCTAGGGAAACCACAAAGTGCCTTTTCTTCCCAGAGAGGACTAGTTGTTTCCCCCCTCCCTGACCCGATGCAAAAATAAGGGTGTTTGGAAACCCACCCTGCCACAGGACACCCCCCCCAGGCCAGAGAGCTGGGGCAGACCCATGTGGACGTACCGTGTTAAAAAAGGGGTTTAAGGCTTCCATGCCGCTGTCTGAAATCGTCCTGTCTCTGCGGGTGGCAGGAGCGTCCCAGAGGGGACGAGAAGGGAAGCGGGTGGATTACAGCCACCTTGGCAAAGGCTAAGCTTCATCTGCTTGGCGATTTGGGGGCTGCAGTTCCCCGGACTCCCTTTTTCACCCCTTTCTGCCCCCATCTCTCTCAGGGAAGGGCACAAGGCACGCCTGGCCCTGGTACAGTGAGGGTGAAGAGCAGCTCTGGGGCCACTCTGCACCCAAAGTCCTTGGCAAAGCCCCAATGGGGCGTCTGAGCATTGGGAAGTGGGAAGAGGGAAAAAGAAGACGGACTGGAAATTGTTTAAACACAAGGAACACGCTGAGCCCATCTCACACTCAGCTGAGCTGGGGGCTCCCTGCAGAGCACACCTCGAGGTGGAGAGATGGTGGTGGGTGGGGGACAGCCCCAAAACATCTCCCCCCACTTCCAGGGCAGTAGGAAGGGAAAAAATTCCACTTTCTTCTCCTGTAACTGCAAAATTGTCCAATAGAAATGTTTTCTTCGTGATCTCCCGGATCCCCCGCAGCCTCCAGCCGAGAGTTTCCAGCATCTGAGCGTGCAGCCCTGGGAGAAGGCAGCCAAAGCTCAACCCCTACGAAGTGTAGCAGCCTAATTCTTTTTTTGGCTCTTACCTTACCTAGAAAAAGCTGAATAAACAAACAGAAACTGGGCAGGATCCAGGGAAAGGCCCGGTATTAAAGTCAATTGCCGGACGGCTGTTTCTGATTTGGGGAAGGGAATGACCGGAGCTTCGCAGCAGAAGCCGGGATGGCTCATGGGGTGATCAGCAGAGATGACACAGGTTTCCCACTGGAGATACCAGGGGCTGTGGGAGGCGTTGGAAGATGTGTGCGTTTATCCCCCAAGAAGCAGGTGCCGGTGCGGGGCTCGGCGAGCCCCTGTCAACAGGCAGTCCTGGTGAAAGCCTCCGTCCATTAACAGCTCGCCATAAGGAGCGGGGTTCACAAACAAGCTGCAGGTGTAGCTATTGTTTTTC